AGCCAACTCGGCGAGTGCTCCCTAACTCTGGCTGCCAATTGCCGTTATGTTCGCCCTCTGTACATGCATCCTCAAGTGCATGTGAATTCGTAAACACAATTTGAAGTGGCGTAAAATGGCGAGGCATCCTTCGTAATTGGAATCGGAAGGGTCTTTGTCGAGTTGCAAACTACGAACTCAGCAGCGAAGTGGGTCCTTCCAATGGTGTTACGTAAGCGACTCTTGATTGTGTTTAAGATGTTGTCACCCTTAAAGGGTAAGGATATGAAAAGGGGCTTTTTTAGAGCTGAATATTCCATAGCCTTTTGCGGTAAGGGTTTGCTACACCTGTCAATAAACTGAGCTGGGTGAACACGCTTGAGTAGAGTCTCCTTGAGGCTGGCAATTTCTGAGTACAGTGTATCTATTTAACAGAGGTTGGTGTACATCGGGTTTAATTCGACGTGTCTGTTGATGCACGAGTCGCTGACTCGTCCGGCTTGCAGTCCTATCCTTTCAAAGTCACGCGAATTCCAAGAGACAGCCTGTTTTACTGTTCTGATCCAAGTAAGGCGGATCATACTAGAACAAGTTACCCATGAACGGAGATCTTATAACTCGGTTAAGGGCAAAATATCACAAGTAACAAAGAGGATGAGCCGCAGTAATTGTAAAGTCAAAAAGTTAAAACAAGGCCGAACTCTGGTTACCTGTAGAGGGTGAAAGGGGGGTACCAACGAAGACAAAGCACCCCCGAGCATAACTCAATGGTGGACGCCATTCCGACATAACCTTGTTAAATGTCCGTGCTTTAAGTTCATGTATGCTTCATTAATTTGGATAAGAAGACTTTCAGAGAAGTGCAACAAGCAATTTATTTCGAATAAATGGGGTTTTCTGGTCTAAATTTCGAAAATTCTCAAAATATTGCGGCAAAATATGTGGGTCTTCAAGAAAAAGAGAAAAGTTGTGTCTCTCCCAAAAAAACCTTGGGTTAAGAAGCTTTAAACAAATACCGCTCCATATATGACAGTCAAATAATTAAGGGGCTCTCGTTCAGCCCATGACCAGGACGACAGGTCTTCAACTACAGCAGGCGGATCCCCCAAGATGAGTTCCTCAATCGTGTTTTCGAAATCTCCTTGGCCTCCTCCTAATGGAAATGTAAAGATGCACAAAGTCAGAGGTAAAGACAGTAAAATGTATGCAGATTTGACCGAACAAACTGTGCAGTTAGTCCGACTGGAAACGAGGATTTGAAATTGCACACAAATTAAAACATTGGTAGAGCCTAAATGAAAGAGTGACTATTAAAAATCCTTTGGGTAAGGATTCCTTATAGATAACACCATAGTAACCATAAATCTACATTTGTGTAATATGGAATAGATAGTAAAGCGGTTAAATGGGTGAGTTTTATCAAGGGAAAAGATAATTAAAAAATTAGAGCGTTTAAAAGAAAAAAGCAATAGGAATAATTATGGAAATAACCTAATTTTTGGTGTGCGATAGTTAAAGTGGGAAATCCAACCAATATGAAACAAGAACTGCGCAAAATGCGGAACTGCACAGATTGGGTAAGTGCGCAAAATTCTAAACTGTGCAAAGTACTGTGAATGTTTAGATTAAGTTAAAACCACGAAAGGTAGGCTCTTCCCCATTTTTTGAAACTCACAATAGTTTCTAGTGCGTTTGCATAGGTATTGTAGTATTATAAGCCGAAAAGCAACCGCGCGTTGCTAATAAAACTAAAAAAACTGAAAAACAAACTACACTAAAACCAAAATTAACCACAGCAGGCTAAAGATTTCCGTGTGGGGAGTCCAATGGAATGGTGAATGCTGAATACGTATACAAAATAGCAGGCTTAGTACGATGAAGTTAGTAATTAGTCATGTAAAGTTCGGTGTTACCAATAAGGAATCTTTCCGTCCTTTCTAAGGCTAGAACTTATTTCACGTCAAGTACATTAAACGTAATTAAAAATTGCCTGAAACAAAAAGTTTCTGGGGAGAATGCTGACCCAAGGCATAAAGTCTGTCTTTGTACACCAGAGGGGAGAATCTGCGTCGGGGTTGCAGCAAGTCCGCGACACTCGTCCATTCGCCGAGTGGACGTTCAGCATCTGGTGGGTGAAAAACCTCTACGACACGCTGGGCGTTATGAATACCACATTTGTCTACGGTCAGACCTCCAGCGACAATTATCTTGTCCCTGAAAGCCACCGCTGCTGGCAAGTAGCGTGGCGTCCTCATCGGTTCAAGGGACCGCCAAAATCCCTTTGATCTGTCCGCCCCGGTAATGTAGGACCAGTCAGCCTGAAGGTGACAGAATTTCACCGAGGCAAGCGATGATCGGCCGTCGCAGCCACCAAACACGACAACACGTCCGTCAGACAGCGCTACGGCTGCAGCTTCAGCTCTTCTTTCCCGCATTTCGGGAAGATGGTGCCATATACTAGACAGAATCGAAGTCAGCTGATTAGGAGAACACAAAACAGTATGATGAACATGGGAAGGTAAATATGATTTTTGCAACAACTTTGGTTAGCTGACTGATGTTTAAGCTGGTGGTGGGCTTTCCGCCCTGAAAACTTGTACATCAGAACAAATTGATGTAGTCTTCACACATAGCTTTCGAAGTTGGTATACCCTGTGCCGTTTGATATGTCAGTCAACAAAAAAATTGTTTTTCCACCGGACTTATTTTCCTTCTCAGAGGAAAAGAGCATCCTTTCCACAAGAACATTTTCTTTCTGAACGTAAGACCACACGACATGTAGCCTTTAAGATGATTCCAGGAAACGCCTTAGACACGATATATCCCCGCATACAAATTTTAACAGCTGTTTACTGAGAAAGTTTGTCGGCTAAGGCAAGGATCACTTACTGTCAAGATGGGATTGGTGCCAAAGTTCTTCGGCTACGCAGTTACACTTGCAGGACATGGGTTTTACAGGTCGGTAAGGATTCCCTATAAACAACACCACAGTAGCCAAAAACCCCAGGTTTGCGTAGTATAGGACTGATGGCAATAGGAGTTATAGGGCGGGGCATATTAGAGCAAAATAAAGTAAAAACTAATGAAACTAAAAATAAACTAAATTAAAGTAGATCAAAATAGTTCAAGTAAGACTGAACTGAACTAACCAAACTAAACTTAAATAATAAACTAATAACTAAACTAGGTGATAAACTATAACAAAACAATTAGGTAGTTATCGACAGTAAATTACGGCGTTGTTTATAAGGAATCCTTATTTACGGGTCTACCGTCTCATGTGATTCAAGATACTGGAGCTATTTCAGATAATATGGTCAGTTAGGTCGCGTGGAATAGGTGAATCATATAACTCCCCTAAATAAACTCGATCGGTCTCGAGACCTATAATCGCACACCTTGTCGATACGAATCACCGAGTCAATCCTAAGAAAGTATTTTAGGTTGTCTAACGAACACTGGCCAATTTCTTTAAGTGCTTACGCCAACGGGTGCTATCAGCAGCCGAGACCGTAGCTATACGGCTAACGGATCCAATGCTGCGCTGTCAGAAAGCAGGCTAATACATATTATATCTTACCCGTGGCCGACGCCGATGCTAGGTGGCGATCGCATGTAATCCCTACAACCTGGTGACGGTTGTTCACTCCGTGCAAGTGACAGTCATTTTCACTCTGCGTACTCGATCAATATTCGCAAGTTACCCTGCTCCCCCCGTCGCTCATTTTATTGCCGATCTCGTCATGCGGGTGGTATGAAAACGATGACTTTTAATCATAAGACACTTATAAACCCTGTCCATTTCCCACATTTTAACTATTGATGCAACTGTGAATTGCAGAAAGCATATGTTTGCCAAATAGAATTTCCAAATTCCTTACCTGTGCTAATTTCCTAATAGTAAAACAGAAGCCATCAAGGCTTTGCGTCACATGCAAAATCTCTGCACGGAGTCTGTCTCCACTATTCTAAGTGCAGCGAGACATGCAAGAATGCCGCAGATTACGATGAAGTCCCCATAGTGCTTAGTGGCGGGTTCCATACTGCATAGAAGAGTAAAAATGCGCACAACTGAAAGTATAATTTGCTAAAATGTTTGCCCTATCAGCAGTGCATATTGATGGGAATGCCTCCATTCCCATGATGAGCCATCGCACAGGAAGACCCGTAAGCGCAGCAGCCATGAGAGCGCGCACCGTGGCTATTAATTTCTTGTCATATCTGATTGGTCCATTAACACTGACCGAATAAATACACGCGACCTTTTTGTGAGTAACTTGCTAATTGCCAATACACTTCTCGACGTGGTCGATTGCCCTCTTTTCCCCATTGGCGTTGGTTTTGGGGACAAAGTCGGGCAAGCTCGCAGTTTTTGCTAATTACGTGTACCAGGCGCGGATCATAATAAAAATGCAGCATGCAAACCTGAAAAGTAAAACGATCAAACGAATCGAAATGTTAGAAGTATTTTCCATATAAAACCGAAATAAAAACTCACCACCAACGACCACGAAGCTTGCGCCCACAAGACTTTCTACAGTATTCACTTCTTCGCAATTGTTTGCCTCTAAGTCGCACTGATAAAGCAAACACCGGTCCTCTACTGCCGATTTTCCAAAGACGACAACAGACTTCGCGACACTTGCTGGTCGACAACTAGCGTTAAAGGGGCACTGCTCTTGAGTTCTCAAAATCGAATATCCTATCCAGTGATCCGCAAGACCTACACACCGACTGACAGTTGAGAAAAACGATAGAAAACGACTTTTACATACAGGCAAGCTGTACTGCTACCGATGAGATCGTCATTTTCCATTAGACGCTTTCTAAAACGGTGCTTCGTTTGACTCCACCGAACAACCCTCAACAGCTCTGGAGCATGAGCGATCCTCTCCTCATCCAGATTGCCAGCTGGACGGACCCATCTTTTGATTGCATCAAAAACCTTCTCCTCGTTGTCCACTTGCAATTTATCGTCTCGCAACATGGAAAGTAACACGTCTGCAGGTACTTCAAGGAAAAAGGCGCTAGCAACGGTAGCCTCGAAAAATGTCTTCATATGGTGCACACACGCGTCTCGAAGACTGTCTCAGTTTGCGGTTGCAGCGAAATTTTAGAAGTCTGACAGATTATCATACTGAAGTCTTCTTCATTCAAACTAGCAACAGGGAAAGCTACCTTCTAGATAAAAAATTGACAGCCCAGTCTTCCACGCAGGGAAGTGACAACTGCTTCGATAAAACAATCATGTTCATCGCATTGCTACTACTGATTTCAATGCGACCTGTGTATAGGTAATCGATAAGTGAGGATGCAGACCTGAGAAAGAATCATTACGAAGGAAAACGATATTACTCAATGGAAACCGTTGGCCATTGAAGAACTGAATCCGTCTCCGTTACCGCCTCGCGTTACAAAGAAATCCTGGCGGCCACAATAAGTCTGTGCACATGCACAACGTTGTTTTCCTTCAACTATGAACATTGTAGTGGAGAAGAAGGAACCTACGCGAATGGTAAGATCAGTTAACTCCTGTGCCAGACGGAGTTCGTTCAGTTTAGGACAGCATTGGGCAAGTGGAAACTCGTCCTCAAACAGTTGCACCTCGGGATTGACCATCGCGTCGCTCGATGCTGTAAACTAAAATTTGTGACAATTTTGTTGTTATTTACAAAAAAGCAACTTCCGTAGCTTAGGAAAATTAGATCTGATGGTCGAAGACTGGGAGCAGTACTTTAAGAGACAGAGGGAGGACAAATAATAGCTAGTCCGCACTGGACAAGCAAACAAATCGCCTGGAGCTAACTGGGCCAGAGGGGGTAATGCCTGCCAGTTGGAATCAAAACTATTTGGTCAGACTGAAGCTGGAAATTGCCGCTAGTGTGGTAAAAAATGCAATGTACTATGTATGCGGCCAGCCTCAATCGCCTTGTGCGTCGTTTCCCATTTAATGTTAACTGACCCCTATAAGAAACACCGGTAAGAATTCCTTTTGAGGCCGCCTGGGGAATGTATGAAGCGCGTCCCTTGGGCCCAAGGGCACCTGATTTGCGGGGAGAGGATGGGCGGGGCGTGTCAGGGTACAAATTCGATTGCAATATATCTGTAAAATAAAAAAAGTTACGAGGACAAGTTGGGTCGCGTACCCAAATCTTGGGAGAAGACACTGAAATGGGCTTTATATAGTTCAGTATAGTTCAGTATATTTAGGGTAGTAGGCAATGCCTTT